AAAATAAATAAAAAGGGGGGGGGGGGGGGGGGGGGGGGGTGTACAACACGATTTGTCAAGAAAATAACCACCTACCATATGTGATACCATGGGATGTTGTCTTACTACTAGCATCGACCGCGCTGACCGACTGACCAATGAAAAGACGTCCGTCTTGAACGCGGACAAAGAACACGATAACTTTCTAGTACCCGGAACCGTACCCACAAGTCGAAAGGGGGCATTTGTGTGCCTTTGGTTCTTGTTACTGTTTTGGTCCGGGTGGCGAACGGCCCGACCTACGTACCTGTTCAAGAAGGCCGCGGAATGATCCGCGGCTAGGCAGTCTTCTCTCACGAGGCGGTTCAGCACCTCCCCCAGCATCCCGGCGTCCGTCCGGAGGAAGTCGAACACGGCAGTCTTGTCCGCGCCCCTCAGTTCCAGCGCCACCATGTGGTAGTGTTTCTCGAAAGGGGGGTAGGGGCTCTCATCCCTACAGAAGACAAGTGGGGGGGGGGTACTCATGTTTTGCATGCCTTAGCGGTTAGACCATTGACCAAGCGTCCTCGACAGGATGGAGCATTGTTCCCGCAGGACCGATATGGCCAATCGTTTGCCAAAGGTGGCTAGAAAAATGCTTTCCCTACCCTATCCATCCTATCGGGGGGGGGGGAGGGTCTACTCATGAAACGCGTGCCGTAGTCGTGAGACCATTGACCTCGCATCCCTACAATACCGCGACGGATATATGTGGGTTTCGTGTGGGTTTCGTTTTTACTTACTCCTTTTCTTTTTTTTTTGGCAGCACATATCGGGATGAAAAATATCCAAAAAAGAATTGGCTACAACCCAGAGCCAGCCAGCCGCGTCCTTGCCTGTTCTCCAGAACCAAGCTCCGAACCAGCATGCAAGTCGACAGTCTCGTGACCAGCAGTTCCGAGACCATCTTCCACAGGGCCCCGTGGCTGGCCTGCCCGGCCAGGGCAGCGGCACCGACAGGGGTGAAGTCCGCCCCCCTCGCCGCCCTCCGCTTCAGGCTCCTGGTTGTTGTGGGGTTTCGGCGACAACACCCAACGGAAGCGCGAGCATGGTTTAGCAAGCCCCTGATTGGGTTGCTGGGCAGCAAAACGAACAAAATTTAGCAAGCTCCTTGTTGTGGTTGCCGGCAACAACAACATACACGAAAGCGCGAGCAAGGTTTGGCAAGCTGCTGGTTGTTGGGCAAAAGCAACAACAGAAGCACGCAGACTATAGCAAAATTTTTATGCCTCTTTGTCTTTTCCGCCAGTCGCTCCCCTTCTGAGATACACAGGCAAGCGCCAAGACTGCACAGAGCGAACCTCGCCCACCAAACAGACTCCTGGCGTGTAAGGAAAGAACACACACAGCAACCAAAACCTCCGTCCTCCAAAAAAAAAAATCCTCTTCTCACCTGGACAGCGGCGTGCTATCCGCCGCCTGCGCAGCGGAAACCCGGGGAGGCGGCGCCCTCGCTATCACCGTCAGCAGGTTGGTCACGGCCGCGCGGGCAGAGGGAGACCAGGGCACCGACATCCACGTCCACCACAGGAGGCGGCGAGGGTCAACTCCCCGGTGTCCGATGACGGTGCCAATGATGGTGAGTCTCGGGAGTCGGAGATGGTCCTCGAACTTGTTGAGGTAGCGGCTGCTTTCCATGCTCCTGTAGGGGGGGGGGGGGGGGGGGAAAAAACCAAAGGGGGGGGGGGAGTGGGCCGGGGCAACCGGAAACAACCCCCAAAACCAAGGTGGGGAAAGGAATTGAGCCTTCCCCCCCACAACCACCGCCACCCCTCATAAAAAACAACCCCCGCCCCCGGGGGCATGGCCAGAAAAAAAAAAAAAAAAAACCGTCCCCCTTAAAACCAAAAGGGCCTTTTCCCAAAAAAAACCCCCCCCCGCAAAATAAAAAAAACTGGGC